AGTAAACTTTTGTAATAATACCTAATTAAATAATTTAATTAATACTAATTAAACTTGCAATGCTATTTAATATTTTATGAACATGATTATATTTAATAAACATATTATTAAATAATTCTAACGATATTCTGACGTTTAATAAATTGATAGAAAATAAATTCTGACATACAATCTTTATATAATTTCAAAATATAAAAAGATAAAACGCATAGAATCTTTCTAATGGAAATCTCTTCCGAGGATTTTGTCCTCGCGTCTAAAATAGCAATAACGAGAAAGATAGAAGATCGCGTTTCTTGCACCGATGGAATGACTGAGACAAGGAGCGTTGAGACACGCATTTTATGCTGAAAATAGCCATCTTATGTGGTTGGACTTAAGATTGTAAGTTACAACTGCAACACGATTTCAGAATTTCTCATGCATTCGTTTGTGTCGCGAAAACAAGATTATTTCCGAGAATACAACATGCAGCACGTGCTTCAAAGTAGAAACAGTTTAATTAACAAACGAGTGAAATGTATGCACCATGCATCCGTCGTTGTCGCGACTAATTTGTTGTTGGAATAGAGTCCAACACACGTTGTAAAAATATTTTTTAATTCTTTCATTTTTGTCTTTCCTTTTTATTATTTTAATTTACATTTTTAAAACTATTTCATATTCATTTTTTTTTTTTATTAGAAAGGACATAATATTCAATACTTCTTTTATACCCTTGACGTACATTTTTTAAAAGGTTTTTTTTTTTAGGAATTTAAATGAGTTTTTACACGAATCTTTCTTTTTTACTGTTTTCATTTATATTTTTATAACTATTGCTTTTCAATCAAACACTCTCGTAACAATGTTGAAAGTTAACGCTTTCTAATTATTAATATCTTATCAGTAATTGTCATTAATCAAGATTATTGTGTTTAAAATTAAAATTATTTTATATTATGTTGATAATCTCGCAAAATGCAAATTCCTATATTATCCTGACGGTAGTTACTCATTTGTAAACGACAGACATACGGTACATCTATTGATGTACGCATTTCCGTCGATCATTATGGTCGGCACGAGTTTTCGATAGAATAACAATAACGGTTGATTTAATATGGATGCCTTGGAATCTTGTATTACGATTATTGAATACGTCTATCATTATGTTGATGTCCGTTTCTTTGACGTTAATAAATGTAGTTACATTTAATAATGAAAATATTAGAGATCTTATTAATTTCTGTATATATAATAGTAAAATATTTTTTATATAAGTCGTCCTTCTTTTAAATATCTTTAGATATTTCTCACATGGGCGTTGCCAGAAAGTTTTGTTCCAGAGAAGGAACCAAATTAGAATTCAGTCTTGAACCGAGGAGGAGAAGGGGAGAGTATGATATGGATTATCAGTTTTATATTTTGTATCATTATTTTTAATTAATTATAAATAAATAATAGTAGATAAATCACAAAATCACACATATTTAATTATACTTTGCAAAGGTCTTAGCCTCCCTGTCTCTTCCTCGGCTACGTCTATTATCTCTTTTTCCAAAATGTCTGAATAAATAAATGTATACATATAAATATATTACCTGGTGATTTTTCCATTACAGTCGCGACATCCACGAATGGAGGGAAATATGTACCGCGTGCAATTCTTTTGGACTTGGAACCGGGAACGATGGACGCCGTTCGTTCCGGTGCTTACGGAAAACTCTTTAGACCGGACAATTTCGTGTTTGGACAATCCGGTGCAGGAAACAACTGGGCGAAAGGTCATTATACCGAGGGCGCCGAGTTGGTGGACATGGTCCTCGATGTAGTGCGAAAGGAATGCGAGAATTGCGATTGCCTTCAGGGCTTCCAACTCACCCATTCACTAGGAGGTGGTACTGGATCCGGCATGGGAACCTTGTTGATCTCAAAAATTCGTGAGGAGTATCCCGATCGAATTATGAACACTTATTCGGTGATGCCGTCGCCCAAAGTATCTGATACTGTCGTGGAACCTTACAACGCAACCTTATCGGTGCATCAATTGGTGGAGAACACCGACGAGACTTATTGTATCGATAATGAGGCTCTATATGATATTTGCTTCCGCACTTTGAAAGTTTCCAATCCGAGTTACGGCGATCTCAATCACTTAGTTTCGCTCACTATGTCTGGAGTAACCACTTGTCTTAGGTATGCATACAAATCCATGGCAATATAATAGAACTTTGTTTATCTGCAATTTATACAAACTAAATAGTTCGTGCTGAGGTTCCAAATGTATGAACTCATAGCTCAGTTCTTATTCTTTGCAGCACCGTAGTTCCGATAATAGTATATTCTCTACACTTTTTGGAATGAAAAAGAATGAAATATCACTTCAAGAATTTAGAGTATAAGAACTTGACGTATTAATTTCAATATCTTGAACGTCAGTTTTTATCATAGGAATTAATAAACAGTAGTAAAGAGGAAAGAGAATCTCTATTATACGAACTATATGACAAAATAGAATTCTTTTAAATTATCTTCTAATTATACATAAAATAGATAAAGGAATATAGCAATACGTAATGCACATGCTCCTTTCTCATTTTAAATAATATATTAAGTTAATAGCATGTGATGTTTTTGCTCTTTCATATATTGTATTAATGAAGTTAATAATTTTCTGTGAAAAAGTAACATAAATTCGCTAATAATAAAATCTTTATGTTGCAAATATAATTTATTACGTATATTGATTTTTTTCAGGTTTCCTGGCCAACTGAATGCTGATCTCCGGAAGCTCGCGGTAAACATGGTTCCCTTCCCACGTCTGCACTTCTTTATGCCGGGTTTCGCGCCTCTAACATCCAGGTCCATGCAACAATATTCCGCGCTCTCCGTACCAGAACTCACGCAGCAGATGTTCGATGCAAAGAACATGATGGCGGCCTGCGATCCACGCCACGGTCGATATCTCACCGTGGCGGCCGTATTTCGCGGTAGAATGTCGATGAAGGAGGTCGACGAGCAGATGCTCAGCGTGCAGAATAAAAATAGCTCGTACTTCGTCGAGTGGATACCGAACAACGTGAAGACTGCCGTGTGCGACATCCCGCCGAAGGGCCTGAAAATGTCGTCCACCTTTATCGGCAACACCACCGCTATACAGGAATTGTTCAAAAGGATCTCCGAACAGTTTACAGCGATGTTCAGAAGAAAGGCCTTCCTCCATTGGTACACCGGCGAGGGTATGGACGAGATGGAATTCACCGAGGCCGAATCTAATATGAATGATCTGGTATCCGAGTACCAACAGTACCAGGAAGCCACGGCAGAGGAGGACTTCGAGACGGAGGAGTGCGCTGATGACTTCGAAACCTGCGAGCAGGAAAACTGAAAGTTGCAACGCAATGTTCCCTTTTATTAGATTTCTTTTCAGCTTCTCTGTCATCGTAGGAGTCGCATAACTGATCGTATAAAGCTCGCCAGAAGTCGGTTTTTGATACTTTTATATGCAATATGCGCTTTATAATCACTGAGCGTAATGTAGGGGATCGACTTTTTTATGAATTGTGTGATATCGAAATATTTATAAAGAGATCAATATTCAAAAGCAAATTGCAGTGAATATTAAATTAATATGAAAAATAATTATTTAGAATAAAATAATTATTTAAAATAGCTTCTTCTATATTGATCTTGCGTTATGTCTATGACACGCCTATGTAATATTCAGCTTTACTATAGTGACAATCATGAGAATTTTCATATGTCGTTTGGAAAACAAATGTGGCATGCACTGGAACGTAATAAAAATCCATTCGAAGATCAAATTTTCATTATATTTACAACCACTATTAAAATGAAATGTCAAAATGCAATGGAAAAAACTTTTTCCAATTCTTTTTTTCATAATTCCTCTCAATATTGTAACATTAAACATTTGCCTCTTAAATCCTTAAATTTCTTATATTTTTAGATTTTTTTATATTACAATTTTATTTATAGCAATTTTCAATCCTAATAGCACATTTCTTTATTAAATCACATGTTTTTGAGAACGTTAGTATTCATCAATGAGACGACTTAAATGATCTCTCAACACATATTCATAATAAAATCATTTTCATATGTTCACTCATGTTTCAGTGAAGACAACTTGTTTTAAGGAAATTTCATCTGTAATTTTCTGAGCCATTAAACAAGTCTTGTGATTTGATAACAAAGTAAATGACAAGTTATATGATGTTATTTTGTATATATAATAATTTATTCGAAATCCAACTAATCAAATATTTTCTTATTCTGCATGCTCAACATTTCGTCGTCCATATTCTGAAAAAAGTTATATCTTGTCAAAATTAAAAAAATATACTGTATATTTCCTTATCGTCATTTATGGTTTTTGTATTATTTAAAGAATACAGGATAAAATGTAATCTTATATTTTTGATGTATTACTAATAAATATCTTAATCGACATTTTATCTCTGAAAATAGTAGAAGCGATGAGAAACTGTCGCGCAATAACACGCGTTCTCCTTTATTGTACGCAATAATAAAGTGTTTGCCCTCGGGGCACCGATGAGATAATGCGCGATCGCCAATTTTTGCCAAGGTCTTGGCTTTATCAATGTCAGTTGGCCGTCAGAGAAGGACGATAACGAGTTCGATAACGAGAATTGTATCTAAACGCCAACGTTTACTCATCTTATTTAAGAGGCATATTTATATTAAATTATAAACGATATCATTAATTGGATAAAGACAATTTTATCTATGTAACAAAGAGTGTAACTCGTCTAAATTTCCTAAACATTAAAATATAGCGTATTTAGAAGAATTCACTGCGAATATTAAATTGAAAAACAGTTCAGAGTTTTGCTAATATTGTCTTTTATAAATTTTACTAAAGTAAGTACACAGATGATTAAAACATCTTCTAAAAATTCATATATAATTCATATATATATGAACAACATATAAAACGTTGTAAAAAAAACATTTGATAAAAAAATAAAAATTACAAGTACAAAGGAGTTAAATTAAAAAATTTTCAAAAAATTTTGCAAGCTCGCGATCCTCTACGTTAGATTCTTCTATTTTTCCAATTCTTCTTCATCCATTTCGTAATCTTCTACTAATGCTTCTTGATATTGCTGATACTCCGATACCAGGTCATTCATGTTTGACTCCGCTTCGTTAAATTCCAATTCGTCCATGCCTTCGCCAGTGTACCAATGGAGGAAAGCTTTCCTCCTGAACATTGCCGTGAACTGCTCGGAAATCCTTTTGAACAGTTCTTGAATAGCCGTGGAATTGCCGATGAAAGTAGCAGACATCTTGAGGCCGCGTGGCGGAATATCGCACACCGCCGTTTTCACGTTGTTCGGTATCCACTCGACGAAGTACAAACTATTCTTATTTTGAATGTTAAGCATCTGCTCGTCTACCTCCTTCATCGACATCCTGCCGCGGAAAATGGCCGCCACGGTGAGATAACGACCGTGACGTGGATCACAAGCCGCCATCATGTTCTTTGCATCGAACATTTGTTGTGTGAGCTCTGGCACCGTGAGAGCTCGGTACTGTTGGCTTCCTCGGGATGTGAGGGGCGCGAAACCTGGCATGAAGAAATGAAGACGGGGAAACGGCACCATGTTCACCGCGAGTTTTCTCAAATCGGCATTCAATTGACCTGGAAATCTATAATAATCATTTAAAATCAATTATATATTAATAATTACATATTAAAATTATATATTGATTATATATTGATATTATATTTCTTCATTAGTATTTTTATTATTATATTAATAATTTGTTCAAATTTAATAATGATTAGTTTCGTATTGTAGACCTTAGACAGGTTGTCACTCCGGACATGGTAGCTGACACGAGATGATTCAAATCACCATATGTCGGAGTAGTCAGCTTCAAAGTACGGAAGCAGATATCGTAGAGTGCTTCGTTGTCGATACAATAAGCTTGATCACAGTTCTCTACCAGTTGATGAACCGACAGGGTAGCATTATAAGGTTCCACTACAGTATCAGAAACTTTGGGAGATGGTACCACGGAAAAGGTGCTCATAATTCTATCTGGATACTCTTCTCGTATTTTCGAGATAAGCAGAGTGCCCATTCCAGATCCGGTACCACCCCCCAAGGAGTGTGTGAGCTGAAATCCCTGCAAGCAGTCACAATTTTCGGCTTCCTTCCTCACTACATCGAGCACCGAGTCCACTAGTTCAGCACCCTCGGTATAATGACCCTTGGCCCAGTTGTTGCCAGCCCCCGACTGGCCAAACACAAAGTTGTCTGGTCGGAATATCTGTCCGAAGGATGCCGAACGCACAGAATCCATCGTGCCGGGTTCGAGATCTACCAAAATCGCACGCGGTACGTATTTTGGACCGGAGGCTTCATTGTAATAAACGTTGATCCGTTCCAACTGAAGATCTGAATCTCCATGATAGGTGCCCGTAGGATCGATGCCATGTTCATCAGAAATCACCTCCCAAAACTATGTGTGTGAATGATTAAGAATTAATAATTTGATTAAGAATATCTGAGAAATGATGTATACACATAGAAAAGATAAAAACATGGGTTATTAATCGAAGAAAATAATAAAAGCGTTGAATATTTATAAACTAAAAGTGCTATTTCTAATCAATTATTTTAAAAATTATTCTTTTAATTAAAATATAAATTACATAATTTTATATAATTTTCTCAAATATTTAAAATTTTAAATATATATAATAACACATAATTTATATTTTTTTATCGAGAGATACTAACCTTGGCGCCAATTTGATTGCCGCATTGACCGGCTTGAATGTGAACAATTTCACGCATTTTGTATTAAGTATCGTAGAATTTTAAAACAAAATAATTGTATGAAATTCAATAATAATTTTTCTAATAATTGTGTTAGAAATTAGTACTTAAAAAAAAATTGATGGATGAAAAACGAGGAGATCGCGGACTTGCCTAAGATGTCATTTAAACAGAAACAGGCGACTGTTGAGTTCTCCTTGGTGACTGTCCAACTACCTGGGCTATGTTCATATTCTCACCCGAATGATACGGTAAAACTCCGCTACTCAGGTATGATTTTATTCTTGTTTTATTTTATCGTTAAATAAGGATAATATGATACCTGGGGAGTACTCGGGTAAGAGTCTGGACGCGCCCCTATACTTTTTACTTGTTATTTTGTCATAGTATTGATTTTTTTAACAATACTGTAATTGGTAAAGTCAATATCCTTGCTCTCACTTTCAATAATCAAGCATGAAATATTGACAAGGTTTCTCAGACGATCATCACAATTCGTCTCAATAGATATTTTATTTAAGCTAACTGAAATCACAACAAGATTTTCTTTATAACGCAAGGGCAAAATGTAAAATCGACGTCTAAATGAACAATAAAAAAGTATAGCATTACATTCTAGAGTCCTCGTAGATCCCGGACATTAATCCTCGATTCACACGCGTATCAATCACACGCAATGTACACGCACACACCGCGACAAGTTGGAAGTACTCTTCAGCAGCACAGAAAAAAAGACGGGGATCGAATCGTGCTAGTCGACAAACTCAGGCAGGTTTTACAAGGAAGTACATTATAATAAATGGAAAAATAAATACAATGCGTGTCTATACTGGTAATTATGATACAACGTTGCAAAGAGTTAATTATAAGACTGTCTGTTATTTCGTCCTGTCTCATTGCGACTTCCGGCACGCGGACACATCCGCCAATACGCTGGTCGTCTTCAGCTCGACGACCTCGATATTTGACAATTCCTCCGCTTTTGGTGCGCTTAAGTTCTTCGCCTCTTCTTCTTTCGAGGGCAGCAAGGCAGCTGGCTTCTCGCCCTGCGACGTAGTCGCGCCTTCCTGCGACGCGACTTTCGAGGTAGACGAGCGACTACCCGGTCCGCCGTTCAATAAGTACCCCAACGGCAGGGACTCGGACTTGCTTGAACCTTTCCTGAAATTAATATTAAATATTAACACCAAGTTCGTTAACATACACACATGAAGATAATAATCATTAAATATTATTTCAAAATTAAAAAAGAAATAGAATCCGTTAATAATGATTTAAAAATAAAATCGAGAAACTTGTTATAAAACATAAATTCGATAAAAATTGTTTACCAAAAAAAGTTATTTTCCTCGAAAATAAAATTCTACTTCGCATCTTGCAATATGCTAAATCTTTCGTCAGTGAAATTACTAACTTTGGTATCGTTGGACAGGACCACAGTTTGAAATCAGCCCCGAAGAGCTCACCCTCCTCGACCGTCTGCGGCAGATGGATATTGAGCGTCTCCGGCAAGAATATGGAAGTGATAGCGCCGGCGACGCTCAATGATCCCATTACGATTAGGGGTAAGACTCTAGAGTAGACTGCTAAATGAACGATATAGGGGAAGGTGAGAAGGCCGATGCCGGCGATGAAAGAAGCTATACCCATCGCCTGAGACCTTAGTACGGTTGGCAGCAGTTCGCCGACGAAGACGTAGAAGACAGCGAAGGACGCAGCGATGCCGAATTTGCCGATCATCGCCAGACTCACTGTCACCCAGACCGCATCTGCTGCGACAAGGGCCGATCATGTATACAAAAAAGTATATTCGTAGATGGAATTTTATGGTTGATATTCTAAAACGGTTCTTAATACTGTTGAATCTTCTGTTGAGTCTATTTAACACTGTTGAATTTTAAGATGGTATAAACCAATCATACATCTGTATTAACATCTTAAGATATTATTTAAGATAATCTCGAAATAAGAATGGAATATAAATTCTGACATAAGTCTTGATTTTGTTGCTTATGTATTTTATTTCTCTTTTAAAGTATTGCTTTTATCTTTCTTTTTAATAAAAATTTGAAATTTAAGTGGACATCGTAGGTTTTTGATGAGAGAAGCTATGTGTGCGGTGTGCGGTAACTAATTCATAAGCAGGTCGAACATTTATTCATAAACGTTGTGACGTTGGCAACAGTAATTGCCTCTCACATGTTGGATGTGTGCAACAATATCATGACGAATTCAATAAGGTAATGACGTTGAGGCCGCCATGACGCAAAGGCGTGCGATTCGGTTTAATACTTTTATTCAATTTTATCCCGCGAAGATAATCGAATAATGTGAAGATGAGCAACGTGGTAAATGGTCATCATCGTATATTTTCTCTCGTCGGCATTAGGGATATATCATATCCGGCATCACGTATCCGCGTATATGTAATGTGTACGAAATATGACAAAATAAATAATTAAATTTACATATAAAATATAAAATAATTCTTAAGTTATTCAGATATGCATAAAATTATTTCTGTTAAAGACATTTCAGAATCAAACATAAATCAGACGAAGTAGTACCTTCGGGCACAAACATACAGGACACGCAAGCGAGTCCACCCAGCATCATGGTCACGCACAATACCCACCGCCTACCTAATCTGTCCATTGCGTACCACGTAATAAAGTACGATGGAATCTCCACGAGTCCTCCTATAAAAGGTAAAAAATAAATAAATAAAATTATAAATAAAATTATTGTTATATGAAAATAAACACGAGCGTGATGTAATAGGTAGTGCATAAGACTGCTATGCCAGAGATTCCGGGTTCGATCACAAGCAAATTCAAAGAATTTTTCACGCGCTCGTAGCTCCTCTTCGGTGATCTGGCAAACCACCAAGAGTCTATTGCCAAGAAAATCTCTCAAAAACTGTTGTTCGGAACTGGCATTAAAATTGTAGGTCCCGGTACGACCTACGTGCACATCACAGGCATATGTATGAGAGGTATCGGACAACGATGAAAGACGGTTATAAAATCGAAAAAAAAAAATTATATATATATATATATAATACGAAAATTATTATCGTTTAACGATTTTTTATTGTTCTGTCGTCTCTTCAATAAATTCAACTTTTATATTGAGAGATTTCTTTGAACAATTAGCGCACTCTGAACAGCGCCTATTCCCGCGAGCCCTTTTATTTTTTATCATTACTTTTAAAGTAGAAAATCGTGATATTCAAATTTTATAAAAAAAAATTATACAATACGTTTTTTATCCCAGTATATCAGAAATGTATGAGATTGTGATGCACTTATGTGTTAACGAACAATTTGGGGAGAAAAAAGACTTTTACCAATGAAAAAGGCTAGGTAATCAGAGACACCCAGATTGGTCGTGTTGTAAGATAACCCGTTGTATACCACCGCGTTCGCCACCCAATCGAAAGCGAGAATGAAGAACTTTTTCCTGATGTTTGGGTTTGTGATCAAGTCCATGGGTGTCGCAGATGACGGCGTTGCTCTCTTTTCACCTTCCAAGTCGATGTCGTTGGAATTTCTGCCGTTACATGATATCCCTTGCCTCTTTAATATTTCTACCTGTAAATAATGTTGCTAATTCATATAATCCTCATACATTTATCCTAAAATTAGCGAAATTCTGTGACAAGAAAGTTTTCGAAAGATTAAGTGAAAAAAGTTATTTGTAAATTTTTATTTTAAACAATAACTTCTGAGATATAAGAATTTAAATGTGGCCAATTATAGATATTTAAATGATCACCTGTGAATATTAATAACGCGCTAAAGTTTACGCTTATTAGCTCTCACTAAATTACAGCACACGAGATTTATATGGACATATGGCTAAACATAATCTGTAATTGGCTACATAATTTTTATTATTTCAAAAATTACTGCTTAAAATAAAATTTTATAAATAACTTTTTTATTTAATTTTTCGAGAACTATCTTGCTACAGTATTTTGAGTCGCAAATTTTATATGTGACATCCTATATATTACTCTTTTACTTCAAAAGTAACAACTCAAAAATGTGATTTTCCAATTATCATAAATGAATAAAATAAACATTACCCATTAATCATCAAAAGTGAACTTAACTTCATAAAAAATTGTTAAAATATTCATAACTCAAAAAGCATAGTTTTTTAAAGGTTGTGATATAAAAATGATAAAAATGACATTTTGAGAATATCTTTTTTTTCTATTATTATTTAATTAGTCAATTTTCTGTCAAACAAAAAAATAAATTTACAGCTTAATTCTTTGGGTCACTTTTGAAGTAAAAGAGTGATATATTAACAGAATAATAACAAAATTAAAATATTTTATTCATATTTTATGAATATGAATAAGATATTTTATTAGAATGTAAAGGCTATGATTGCTACACAAATTAAACAAAGTCGTGGCTTATTTCGAGCTAATAAAAGATATTTTATTATTATAATAATTAAATTATTATATAAGCGAAAGAAATTGATAATTAAATATTAAGTTACCTCCATCTTTCTAAGAAAATTCGTAGGCACTGTTTTGCCATTGACTTTTGCCATTTGTTGGACGATCGCTTCCGCCTCGTCTATTCTATTCTTACTGAGAAGCCACCGCGGCGACTCGGGGATGATCCAGTAGTAACTGAAGAGAAGAATGAAAGGCACCGATGTGGCTAACGACAGGGTATACCAGTGTCTTAACAAGTAACCCTAATAAGAAAAATGGAAGAGAACGAAAGCATGTAATCAACAAAACAATGACAAATTATGTTAAAATAGTTTTTGTCTTTTTCATACAAATTTCTTGCCAAAACTTAAAATTTGAAGGATTATATTTGCCTCTATGCGGGCACGCGCGTTGATTCAGAGACATCTAAATGTAGAATGTTCCTATTATATTAGCATGCAGCGATCGAACACTCGTATTTGCATACGCTCGCACCGTATGATGCACGCTGATAGATCGCTTGCAAAATGATTCACGTTGCACCCTCGCGTTAAATCTATTGCGAGATCCGCAAGCTGTCTTTCGCGGTAACTCGTGGAGTACATGCGAGGCTTTCGCAATATTGGCTGCATTCAGCAGAAAAAGCAGCTTTAGAATTATTGTAAAATTCTTGAATATGATTGGTTTACATTTAGACCCAGTGAGGAACTAAGGGCGAGAGAGAGAGAGAGAGAGAGAGAGAGAGAGAGAGAGATCATACTAATGAATAAAAATAAATGAATTTTGCAACAATTGCAAAACTTTTTCTGCTGAATGCAGCTAATGCAAGTTTTAAGATTAATCTACAATGCTCTTTGCTTTCTGTCTCTTACGTTTTATCTTTTGCTTTTTTCCTTTTTGCAACTATTTTGGTTGTGTTTGGATATACATTGTCAGTATTGAAAATTCAAGTTACGTATATTATAAATTTTTAATACCTGCATATATATTCGAATACGGCCTTTATCGACAATCGTGTTTCTTGTCTCTTTCGAAGTTCGTCAATTTTTATCTCGAGCAACAGAAAACGAAGAAACAAGAGACAAAAAGGTAAAAGATAAAAAGTAATAGAAAGAAACAGAAAGAAATTATAGATTAGCCTCTAAAGTATTCGTGATTTTCTTCAAAACGATTGTATTTTTTACCCCTTTGTATTTTTTAAAGATGCGTTACTCTCTAAAATTTTTGGAGTGAAATCTATAATTCTAAGAGTGACAAAGAATGACAACTGAGCTAGTATTAAAAAAGAATGGCTTAATTTCTAAAAGTAAAATTTCACTTTTTTGAGTTAGATTATATTTAAAAAATTTTAAACAGTACTTACCAGCAACGCCAAGAGAGACATCGCCGTGGCGAAAAACATGCAAATCACCATCCCGGCGAATGTTCGATATCTTGGCCCCATTAGCTCAAGAGCTGCAATAAAATTTATCGTGCAAAAATATTTTGCATTTCACACGAGCTGATGTTTTTACTTCTAATCGTGTTTATGCAATAATGGTGACAAGAAAATGTGTTTTGATCTTTCTCCTTCATTAAATTGTTCTTAAAGTTTTTTTGTTTTGTATTATTGCCAAAAATTAAATAGCCTGCGATTTATGTGTGCTGAACATACCAAGTATGAAAGGTATCTGATAAATGGCAGGAAAAAAGAGACCATTCACGGTTCTCAGCGCTGTGTAGATCACGTAGTTCGGACTGAAGCTCGTGGCGATAGAGAATATCACTTCGAGAAACAGGATGGCGAAAAAGGCCGTCCTTCTGCCCCATTTGTCAGCGATCCAACCGAACACGACGTTGCCGAAGAGACTACCCACGTAGAAGAAAGTCGTCGACGTGGAAGGCCACCAGCTGTTGTCACATACCAGGTCTAGCTATGTGGATGTAGAACGCCATTAAACGTCTACTTCGCCGGCGCCAAATTGTATATCGGTAAAAGTAATTCAATGATTAACAATAAAATAAACTAGAAAAACTATAAAATAAAAAATAATAAATATGTTCGCGCGCGCATACGAAAATGCCAACGCATAAAGATTTATAATTTTTGTTATTTCTTTAAAAGTTATCAAAATTATTAATAAAAATCGTAATTTAATTAATTACGTTATACAATAAAATATTAATAAAATATATTATATAAATTAGACAATAAAATAAAATTTTTTTGTGAAAAATATATGTGTCTTGCTAATTAATAATAGTTGCTTGAGAAGAATTAAACGCGTATATGTTTCAAATTAAACTAAAATAAACTCTAAACTAAAACTTTTAAAGTTTTTGTTTGCGTTTGCTATTAATCGAGAGATGCAAAACATACTAAATTGTTAAGAATAAAAGCTGGAATAATATTACTATATATAGACATGATGAACAACTATCGTAATCGACAAAAAACACAAATCTCGATGTGGCGACTTTAAGGAATGAATAATTTTAAAGAAATAATTAACCCGAAGAAAGATTGTAACGATCAAATCATTTTTTTCTGCGTTTGTGTTTGTAAAAAGCACAATATATGCAATTGCGGTCATCGCGATTCTGATGAATGTAATCTTCAAGATCTTACGAGAACTTGACATGTTTCGTAAGCTTTGCATCATGGTATAAGAATACAAGATGCTGTAATCCCAGAATGCATGAACTTTCGGTCAAATTAATGAAAATTCTTAGATTCGCTCCAAATGTGAGAATGAATTCAATGCGACGATTTTTTTTTAATAGATAAAGTTTCAGATGTGCAAATACAGCACATTGAAAAATAATAAAAGTATTTAGCATTTATAAAATTTCATCAAGCTAAAACTTTAAAAATTCTCGATTGGTTTCAAGTTAAAAGATCAATTTCGAGTTAAAAGAATGATTAAATTTCGATTAAAAAGATCGACTAGAAACTTATTGTCGTAAGTAAGCCTAAGAATTAATCAATTGATTGATTAATCAATAAGAAATTGACTAGTCGAATATTCTTCTCACAATCGATTGTGATTAATCAATTTGCACCTTTGAATAAGTGGCAGATTTTCACTCTTTTTTGTGAGGTTAAAGTGAAATTTCTTTCCTTTGGAATAAATCTCAATCAAAATCTGCCACTTTTGTTTAACCTTCATTACACACAGCTCTGGCAGTCCGTATCTACCACATCCGGATATTTGTAACCCAGAGTTTTCTTTTGCTTGTATCTCAGATTGTGGTCCATCGATTTTAACAAATTTTTTTTTAATTTATCGTTTGAAGACTGAAAAAAAAAAGAATTTTTGAGTTAGAAAGTCTAAAATGTCGTAGCACAAACGATATTTTGCAATAAGTGAAAAGGGATCGAAAAAAAACGTGAACCATGAAAATCGGGTGGGGTTACGTTAAACCCCATTGTGTGTATTAAGGATTAAGAGTGCAAATTTTTTCTTTTTCAATAATGGCAATATTTTAACTCTTTTAGAGTGAGATTTCACTCCAAGAAATTTAAAGAGAAAGACTTAAATCTTAGATGATATAGCTTATTATTGTAGAAAGTTCGTTATAGAAAATGTATGTGGCAGCCCTAAACGCTTCAGTTCGGATTTGCAATAAATGTTATAACTTGTTTCTCTATGAGAGTCTCGAAAAATGGAATCTCGAAAAATCAATCAAAATCATTTAAATTTAGCACGTTATACAAACCAATGATTCTGATTGATCATATGATATATTTATAATAGATTTTTAAACCTTAAGTTTTAAATCTTAAGGAATAGACGAATTACAATCACTTATTCTCCTCGTATTCGGCTGTAGTTGGTCAATTTCTTACGGCTTAAGACTTAAGGTCCAGTTGCACAACTTAAATTTATCTTTAGATGCTTAATGACCAATGAAATAATTCATAGAGCATCTGAAGATAAATTTAAGGAAGCCTTACCTCGGATCTCAATAGATTTTTAAGCCTTAAGCCATAAAGAATGAACGAATCACAATCAATTATTCTCCTCGCATTCAACTGTAGTTGGTCAATTTTTTAAGACTTAAAACCCATCGTAGATCCCCGGACTTAAATATAAGGCTTGACTATGAATATGGAGATTATTATAGATCCGGGCTAAAGCACCCTGTGTATTCGTACTGTATGTACGCCGATATTAGTAGCGAATCGGAGTCGGAGTGCGTGCTCATACACGTGTGAAACACACGCGTTACTCGGCCGATCGTCATTTGTTCGTCGGTCCAGCATCGGTACTCACGCACGCGGGAACACGCGCGACAAAGAATGGAATCGGTGGAGGGAAGTTGTGGAAGAAGGAGGGATGCCGCTGGACCACTAGCGGCACGATAGAGGGGGCGTTTCATCTCGTTGCGTTTACGCAGGAGACTACCGACGTAAACGCGCTCGTGTTTATCACGAGTGGGGGGGCACGTACGTGTGCGATCTTTTAGTATGGAAATCGCATAAGCTTGTAGCTCATACACGACGAAACGCACGTATGCGTGTGCGTCCGAAGGACGTTAAGGTGTATCGGTGAGCTTCCCACAGTGAGAGGTGTCCATCACCCTCGTTTGACAGGAGGAACATAATCCCCACTCCCGCCCTTTAAAGTCCAGTCTCTCTCTCTCTAACTCTTTCATTCTTCTCTGTTACAATCTCGCGTGGCAAATCAGACATGAACGACTCAGGCTCGGTTCCACAAAAAAATAATGTAAAAATATGTAATACATACAGTATGTAAAAATAAAAATATGTAACAACATGTAAAAATACATACTGTATTGAAACATATGCTAATGATAATTACTCATTTCAAATATTTCAAAATTCATAAATCTATCATAAGTTCATAATACAGCATTAAATTTATTCAAAATATATTCTGAAGCTTAGTAAGTTTAATACTTTAATCAAGATATTAAATTCGATTTGCTTATTATATAAAGTAATTTCTTCGATCAATTTTATAAAAAAATATTCTACAAAGTAGTTTTTAAATAATAGTTCTTAAACAATGATAAAAAATATTCTTTAAAAAGAAATAAATTTTTACTTTGAGTGCATAATGTTTTTTTAAAATTTGTAATAAGTATATTTTAAGATTATTATCAACAAAATATTCTTTAACAAAGAAAAGAGTATTTTGTTGATAATAATCTTAAAATATATTATACTTATTACAAATTTTAAAAAAACATTATGTATTCAAAGCAAGAATTTATTTTTTTTTATAGAATATTTTTATATTTTAAAGAATATTATTTAAAAACTATTACTTAAAAGAAAGAAAGTAAATTAAGTAATCACTGTTCTTCAATCGAATAATATCCTTCTGTCTGTAAGATTAATTTTAATCGCGATTTAACTTGCTCATCTTTTTTTCTAATCAAAAAAGATTAAATTGAACTTAATTAAAGTTAAATTAAAGTTAATCTTACATTGATGAAATCAAATCCTTAATGTATTTTCTATTCATCCTATGTAGATGCAAATGGTGACAGTGAATGAATATTTATATAATTGGATTTATAATAATACTATAATTAAAGAATTAAAATTCGAATTATAATTAGAATTATATGCGCACACATATATTTTAAAAATTCTCTCTAAAATATTATAAAATGCTTACGATTTTTAGTCTATTTTGCAAAAATGGGCCTTATCGGTATCCATATTCGCGCGACATTGCAAAATAGTGTTGGGCAATGAAAAAATTTTGCATCTTCTTTTAGAGATCTTTCTCCTAAGTATAATAAAAACGCGATTTCATCTATGTCAAGACTTTTGAGAAATACATCTTTAAAGACATTGACTTCTCATACTTGGAACTGTATGAGTTTAAGAATTTGCATTAATTCAAAGATGATTAATTCCATTAGTAGCAAGCAATGTCAGGGAGTGCTGTTCCGAGTTAATAAGCGTGTTCGAAATCTCAATCGAGTACCTATTAGCCTCGACAAATAAAATCTACCGGTGGGTGTTAATAGTTTTGACACGAAGTTTGATTTAAGCAAATTGCCACTCACGGACTTTCGAGGTCTGCGCGAAACGCGCAAAAGATAAATTGCGCGGAAAGACAGGAGAGTGTGCCCGCTGATGATGATGTTGTCGAGTTATTGTCAAGGGCAGTGCACGCGCCCATAAGGACGTTAATAACACGTATGTTTTGTCACCCTGACACACTTCGAAATCAATATTAATATGACCGCAGTACTGTTCATTACTGCGATTGTTTGCACTGCTTGTTACATCGATTCGACATCGAAATTAATTAAATTCCATCACATTACGATAGCAACGTTCCGTTACTTCAAAAATATTTTTTGTCGTTTTTGTAAATAACAAAATCAAGTTTTATTTTTGGTAATAATAAAAAAGAATAAAAAGGAAGGAGTAAAAAAAAATAACAAAGAGAATCTTCTATAAAGAATATTTAGAATTAAGTTAAGATAGTTTGATAATCAAAGTTCGAAGAAGAAATTAGATATAAACTGATGATATTTCGAATTATGTCACTTTTGATGAATTGCTCCGTATTTCTTTTTTTTAATAATTTATTATAATTTTATAGGATATCAAGCAGATATTTTTATCATAATTTCTAAGAATATATTTTTTTCCGATATTAATTAATCAGTCAATTATTTTCTGTGTTAAATTAAAAATAATTCTTTTCCTTCTCTGAAAAATTATATTTTTCTAGTTTTTATTTTTGAAATAAGGGAATGACAATACTAATGAAACAAGGCATTGAAGGAAATGTTAGATGAGGAAGAAATTCAACGAAACGATACTAAAACTTTACATTAGTCGTAAAACTTCCCCAGAATTAATGGTTAATCAGGTTCAATGTTAATTGAACAATTTGTAACTTAATAATCTATTTTTTTGAATTAACATCGAAAATTGACA